GTTTGAGGTTAATGACAGTGCGAGCTTGTGAAAGTTAGAGTAGTATCGTGCCTCGCATTTATCTTCTCTTTGTGGCTTTGGTCTAAACCCAGTGCAGAGACTAGGGGAGTGAGGTTTAGATGGGTCTGGTCCAACCAGGCCAGCCCAGGCCGCGGTGTCTAGCCTCCCAAACCGCCGACACATCCCCCAGACAGGGGGAGAGAGGAGCCGATACTTACCTCATTGGTGCTCTTCCTTCTCTTCTTCTTGGATGGCACCAGGGACTTGCCAGGGACGGTCCAACTCCAGAAGACTTTGTAGTGATGGACGGGGATGTCAGGCTCCTCGGGCAGGGTCCAGTTGAGATGGGCTGTCACCGTCCCCTCAGGACCCAGCGTCAGGTTGGTGACACGCAGGCTGGCTGGGCTGGGAGGGGCAGCAGGATCTGGAGAGAGACCAGGAACACAGTACCGTAATGTCATGTCATGTAATTCACAGCAGCTCTCCTCTCTCCTTCCCTCCAGCTGTCAGAGCTGTTTTTGCTTGTTCAATTTGGGAGCGACGACAATAACAGAGGCGTCAGAAAAGTGACAGCTGCAATGTCTTCCTGGTGCTAATGATTGGCTTGTGATTCACAAACCAATAAAACATTTTTTAAAGTTTGTTATTCATTAAAAGGGACGATCAATTAAACACAGAAATGTGTTTATCTTTATTAAAAGCATGTAAGACATTTGGTTTAATGTGTCTAACCAGGGTTCATTTGCACCAGTTGAGAAAGTTTAGCAGTACAGCTGAGAGGGGCCCGTATGAGAGGGGCCCAGCCAGTATGATGGTGTAAAGTAATTAGTCCACCACTGACAATCAGTCATGAAATGTTATGACAGGTGTCATGTCACGTCTATGACAGCGTTACGCAGGATGGAGAGCTCAGGTCAAGGGTCACCAAACACATGCTGCTCACTTTGGCTCTACCCTCAAATTCCATCTACTCCTCGACTCTACCTAGCTGGTGGGTGTGGGTGTGGGTGTGCATGTAAGTAAGATGGCTGGTTTTGAAGCCGGCCAGATGGGGTCTGACCCAGGATTTCTGGCGGCTGCAGTGTACGGCTGTCAGGCCAGTGGACCCAGGCAGGGCCAGGCAGTCAGAGGCAGAGCCAGATGCCAGACCAGAGGGAATTTGCTCTTAATAAGAAAATGATTAACAGCCCTGTTACGGTCAGCTCCTCTTCCCTTCCTCCTCTCTCCCACCTGAATGTGGGCCCAGAACTAAGTCCAAAACACTCTGGGCTGAACGTCTGCCCGACCCAGTCACAATCACAGTGATTTTCAGAGCGAACCAGCTGTTATCCATGCTATATAAATTAGGAGCGAGAGTTTTTCCAAAATGCCCAAACAAAGTATGGTGGTGCACAATTGCAATCAGATGATCAGGCTGAGCTATGTAAATAACAATGGAATGACAGAATCAAATCGCTCATCAAGTCCGTAACAGCTTTCATCAATCCATCAACGTTGTGGTTGGAAAAAGGCGGAGCAGGAAGCTGACTAGTGGTGAGTATTCAGCAGCATGATACGCTGGGGGTAGATGCTCTTGGCCAGGCTTCCAGTTTTTGCCATGATGCTCCTGTACTGCCCATGTCTTAGTGATGGAAACAAGGAGAACAGGCCATGGCTCGGGTGGCTGCAGTCCCTGATGATCTTCTTGGCATTTCTGTGACACCTGGTGTTGTAGGTGTCCTGGAGGGCAGGCAGTGTGCACCCAATGGTGCATTTGACTGAGCGTACCACCCTCTGTAGCACCTTGCGGTCCACGGCAGTGGAGTTGCCGTACCAGGATGTGATGCAGCCCGACTGTATGCTCTCAATGGGGCTCCTGTAGAACACTGAGGGCCCTCGGGGACAGGACCAATTTCTCCAACATTCTGAGGTTGATGAGTCGCTGTCGTGCCTTCTTCACCACGGTGGCCGTGTGGTTTGACCATTTCAGCTGCTCGGCGATATGTACGCAGAGGAACTTGAAGTTTTTGACCGTTTCCATGGCGGCCCTGTTGATGAGGATGGGTCCACAATCATCTAATTTGTCCACAATCATCTCATTTGTTTTACTGATGTTGAGGGAGAGGTTGTTTACCTGGCACCACACCGTCAGAGTGCCTACCTCCTCCCTGTAGGCTGTCTCGTCATTATTGTTAAATCAGGCCTACTACTGTTGTGTCGTCAGCGAACTTGATGATGGAGTTGGAACTGTGTGAGGCCACACAGTTGTGGGTATACAGGGAGTACAGGAGGGGACTGAGGACGCACCCTTGTGGGGCCCCCGTGTTGAAAATCAGTGTTGAGGAGGTAAATGTTGCCAACCTTCACTACCTGGAGGCAGCCTGTCAGGAAGTCCAGGACCCAGTTGCATAGGGAGGAGTTCAGACCCAGGGCAGTGAGCTTTGTGATTAGCTTAGATGGCACTATGGTATTAAAGGCCAAGCTGTAGTCGATGAACAGCATCCACACATATGCAATCCTTTTGTCCAGATGGGTGAGGGCTCAAGGTCCTAAACAATTTATAACGATCTGTAATTCCACAACAATTGGCCGGGTGATTTAACAAATGCAATCTACGGTCACACTAAAGAGCTATTTAGTGTCATTCAACGTGGGAACATAGACAGCAGTACAGGCATCAGCATAGCCCTACAGCCAGCCATCAAACACAATGCTAATCTGTAACACAGGTCTGATGCACTGAGCAGCCTACCTTACCTCATTCTCCCTGGAAGCCAGACAACTTACATGCAGTTGAAACATGCAATATCCTGACTAATTCAGACATATTACATGTTATACGGCTGTAAAGAGGGAAAACCCCACCTTTGAAGAGTTACACGTACAACGCTATGCAGAAAATAACATGTTCTGCACTCAGGGGTTTCTGATGACTCTCTGTGCTCTGTTTGGCATCAGTGTGAATTGACAACTTTAGGATCGGAAGGGCGAGGAATGCTTAGCGAATGCTAATCCGATTTGAGGTTCAGGTTTGCTAGGTAGGGAAAATAAAAGTCAAGGCTTATGTACGTATGCTTGTGCTGGCTTTTTAGACGTGCCAAAATCATTTAGCTATTTACTTACAATAAATTAGCATTACGGGTGTGAATAATCTGTAATGTACAGGGACAATGTATGTTTCTGTAGAGTGGGTTTTCCTCAGTGCATGTTTGATTTAATTCCAGCCAAAAGGTCACAGACACACCAACGCAATTTGCAGAAAACACAATTTGTACATGCACATGTGTAACAAAATGGGTAAATTGGCCGTTACTGGGGCAAATCAGGTTGTAATGGATTGTCCCAAAGGCTCCACCTGTTCCTGTTCCTTGACTAGAGCAAATGGAGGGGATAGGGTGTCACACAGACACACACACAGACACACAGATGTAACCTACCTCTGGAGGAGCGGAAGTGCTTGCTGGGGGCAGTAAACCCGCGGGTCCCGTGCACGTTGACGGCCGCCACTCTGAACTGGTACCATCTGCTGGCTCTGATGTCGGCCAGTTGGACGCGCTCCTCTGTAGTCTGAGGGACAGATGGGAGTGAGCAGGCACACAGGGGTCAGAGGTCACACAGGGTCGCGACATTTGTGAGTGTTGCTGCAACATCAGTCATCTGTCTGTTTCTCCTTGCCAAACTGTCAAAGACACTGACTGTAAGGAATGTGCAACAGTGTCCGACAGTCTGAATGAGTGCAGCGCTTCCACAGCTGTGGAGTAGCACCCTGACTTTTTCATCTCTTGTGGTGAAAATATTCGTTTTAAGGTTTGTTTTTCACCCAAAGAATGCATCACAGATTTTTTGTTAAATCTTCAATCAAAAGTACTGAGCATGCAACTAAATGAAATGGTTTGATCACAATGTGCTGTATGTGAATGAAAGAGCGATCCTCCACATTACATTTACATTTTAGTCATTTAGCAGACGCTCTTATCCAGAGCGACTTACAGTTAGTGAATACCTATTTTTTTATATATACTGGCCCCCCGTGGGAATCGAACCCACAACCCTGGCGTTGCAAACGCCATGCTCTATCAACTGAGCTACATCCCTGCCGGCCATTCCCTCCCCTACCCTGGACGACGCTGGGCCAATTGTGCGCCGCCCATGAGTCTCCCGGTCGCGGCCGGCTGCGACAGAGCCTGGATTCGAACCAGGATCTCTAGTGGCACAGCTAGTACTGCGATGCACACATGCAGTAAGGTATTCAGAGAAGCCTGGTTTGGTGTGTTGTGGTGTGCTGTGCTGTCCTACCTGTGCCACGGTCTCCCACTCTGTGGCGTCGTCCTCACTGGGGTGGATGCCATAGTTCCAGCAGCGCTGCACCACGTACAGGACAGGCTCCACAGAGATGTTGAACTTAGAGGACCAGCGGATCTCCAGGCATCCTGACAGCTGTTCCACAAACACTAGCTCCTTCCTGGGCTTCAGAGGAGCTCCTGACAACACACACACACACACACACACACACACACATGGCATCATCACTGTGAGACTGAGTTTGGGAGAGAATGGGGCATGACATCACAGTGAGACAAAATTAACGAGGGACATGACATCATCACTGGGAGACTGACGTTAGGAGAAACATGACATAACATCACCACTGTGAGATTGAGACAGACAGACAGACAGACAGACAGACAGACAGACAGACAGACAGACAGACAGACAGCCAGACACTGTCCACTGGGTCAATAGCATGGTCATTGTGCTGTGACGGAACGTGATATACTCTTGGATAAAGAGAATGTGTTTTACCAGCTGTCTCTTTGGGGAGGAGGACACAGATAATTAGCCTCTGGGTATGTGAGGTAGAGAGGAAAGCAGAGGAGCTTAAACTCCATGTCAACACACACACACACACACACACACACACTGTACATGGGTACACACATACAGAGTGCCTTCAGAAAGTATACACACCACGACTTTTTGAACATTTTGTTGTGTTACAGCCTGAATTTCAAATGGATTACATTAAGATTATTTGGTATTATGTGTAGGCCAGTGACAAACAATGTCAAAGTAGAATCCTTGAAAATCTTTACAAATTAATAAAAAATGAAAAGCTGAAATGTCTCGAGTTAATAAGTATTCAACCCCTTTGCTACGGCAAGCCTAAATACGTTCAGGAGTAAACATTTGCTTAACAAGTCACATAATAAGTTGCATGGACTCACTCTGTGTGCAATAATGGTGTTGAACATCATTTTTACCCCACACATACAATTATCTGTAAGGTCCCTCATTCAAGCAGTGAATTTCAAACACAGATTCAACCACAAAGACCTGGGAGGTTTTCCAATGCCTCGCAAAGAAGGGCACCTATTGGTAGATGGATAAAAAAATAAAACATACATTGAATATCCCTTTGAGCATGGGAAAGTTATTAATTACACTTTGGATGGTGTATCAATAAACCGAATCACTACAAAGATACAGGCTTCCTTCCTAACTCAATGGCCGGAGAGGAAGGAAACTGTTCAGGGATTTCATCATGAGGCCAATGGTGACTTTAAAACAGTTAGAGTTTAATGGCTGTAATAGGAGAAAACTGAGGATGGATCAACAACATTGTAGTTACTTCACAATACTAACCTAACTGACAGAGTGAAAAGAAGGAAGCCTGTAAATAATTAAAATATTCCAAAACATGCATCATGTTTGCAACAAGGCACTTAAGTTATACTGCAAAAGAAATTAGCAAAGCATTAACTTTTTGTCCTGAATACAAAGTGTTATGTTTGGGGCAAATCCAATACAACATATTACGGAGTACCACTCTCCATATGTTCAAGCATAGTGGTGGCTGCATCATGTTATGGGTATGCTTGTAATCATTAAGGACTGGGGAGTTTTTCAGGATAAAAAAAGAAACTGAAAGGAGCTAAGCACAGGCAAAACCTGGTTGAGTCTGCTTTCCACCAGACACTGAAATTAACTCACCTTTCAGCAGGACAATAACCTAAAACACAAGGCCAATTCTACACTGGAGTTGTTTACCAAAAAGACAGTGAATGTTCCTGAGTTCCAGAGTTACAGTTTTGACTTAAATCTACTTGAACATCTATGGCAAGACATGAAAATGGTTATCATCTAGCAATGATCAACAACCAATTTGATAGAGCATAAATATTTTTTTTAAGAATAATGGGCAAATGTTGCAAAATCCAGGTGTGGAAAGGTCTTAAGAGATTTACCCAGAAATATTCACAGCTGTAATCACTGCCAAAGGTGCTTCTACAAAGTATTGATTCAGGGGTGTGAATACTTATGTAAATGAGATATATCTGGATTTCATTTTCAATAAATAAGCAAAAATGTCTAAAAACATGTTTTCACTGTCATTATAGGGTATTGTGTATAGATGGGTGAGAGAAAAAAATGAATTGAATTCAGGCTGTAACAACTAATTACGGAATAAGTCAAGGGTTATGAATACTTTCTGAAGGCACTGTACATACATACATACATAAGGTACACACACACACGTGTACAATACATTTGCCTCATTGTTCCTCACATTCAACCCATTCAAACTCCTTCAATGTGCGATAAATTAGATGTATTAAGTGCGCAGTGCGGGGGAAAGTGAGTGGCCATGACAGATTAACTCTCTCCTGGAGGATTTATTTCATCTGAGAGGTAGTGACGTATTGACTGAGCAGTGGGCTGAGTGTTAATGAGATGGAGATTGGAAACAACGTTTAAGAGTACAGAAGATCACTGAATAAATCCCACACCTCTCGATTAAAATCACCTGGCGTTCTCACACACTTACCCAAGGACCTCTTCACTATAACTGAGGAGAGCGAGCGCCTAGAGCTGCTCTGCATTCATGAAATGCATACAGTATAAAACACACACTCAAGGCAGTAAAGTAACTGCAAACAAGGTGCTCAAAATAGTGTTGAATTGCCTGTGCTGCATAAGCAGGCTGCGTGAACTTCTTACATCTCTATTGAGTCTTTTTAACGAGATTGATTGATGCTCTTAAAATGCCAGGTGGGAGATGGAGGTGGGCCCATTTGCCAGACACATATGGAGTCAGTCTTGTGTCTATTGTTTCACAGCTCCAGCGTGTGTCAATGATGAACGCACTAACAATACCACAGCATTCCTCCTCCCAGTCTCATTTTCCCTCAGCCATAGACACTCCTCATCCAACAGCCATCCACATGCAGCAAAGCGACCAATCCTAAACCCTCGCTCAGCTCTCCCCCCTACAAAGATTACCACTATGGGGCCTGGTCCCATCCAATAATCATCCTCACAGGATTAATCCTTGAAATGGCCACATGCTTGCTCTGCCCCATCCAAAAAACACAACCATGACGTTAGCCCTGTTGAACAGTGATCAAGAGCTGAGCGTCCATTCATGTCTCATGCATTCCAACAATAACTCTCCTGGATTATAATTCTGGGTGCTCACGCACACACTGTCATAATGACCTGGCTAATTACAGGGGCCGAGGCAAAAGAGCACCAATCAATGTGGGAGGAACACAACACATCCAACAATACATTCTTCAAAAGGTTCATGTAGTACAATGGCCTCCCATAATGTTTAAATACAGATGAGTGCTCAGTGTTATGCCACGGTTACCAGAACCATTAATATACATAGTTATATACAGCTCTGGTGGTTAACAATGAAGATATGTTTCACATACGTACATTAAATGACTTTCTTTGTTTTGGAAAACTGAGCAGCCACACCCCATGGTGGTCAAGCACTGTTCACGCTCTTGTCTCGAAGTCCATTAGTGGTGTGGAGCTGTGAACAGCTGGGGAGGGAGACGGCTAGCTGGTGAGTGTGAAGATGAAGCATCACCAGCTTCTCCAGAGGGAGTTAGACCATAAGTAAAGACTGACAGATGTACATGGGTTGAGAACAAGACAGGCTTTTCGACACTGGTCTCTCAGTGGTCTCCATGTGATAGTATATCCCATCCATTACTACCAGGCCATCATGATTGTGAGTGAGAGACTGCTGAATACTTGAACTGGACTGACCACCTACTCTGATTCTCCGCACCTTAGCACACATCACAACTGCTGCTACCAGACTCTTATTATACACTGCCCCCATCCCACCCTTCTCCCCCCATCCCAAATACACATGTAAATATTGAACTATAAATTGTGCCTTCCTGTATCATACTGATGCTAAAATGTTTATTCTATTCTACTGAGACATTTACTTTATGTTCGTATTATTATCTTTCATTATTTCTTAAGGAACCTGGAAGTAAGAATTTCCTTGGACAAAGTATATAATGCATATCCCGTACATACGACTAATAAAACCTGAGAGAGAGCGCATGAGAGAGAGAGAGCGAAAGAGAGAAAGAGAGAGGGAAAGAGAGAGCGAGGAGAAGAGAAGTGACTAAAGAGAGCTAAGAACATCTGCCTCTGTGCGCTATATAGGAGGTTCTCGCTGGCCTCCCACTAAATAAGAGTCTCTTAGATGAGAACATAAGAATCAGCAGGATAGTCATATATACTGTACATTAATTAAGAAATAATGAGGCACTCAAGAGTTTTCTATAAAATCTAAAACCATGAAAAGGTGAAATAGCAATGTTCCATATGCTCACAACATATCTTATTCAGAACTCCACTTCGCCAGTACAGCTTTGAAAACAGGAGGAGTTTAAGACTAGTGAATAGTAGGTAATATCCCTGAGTGTTGATGTAAAGACAAACGCTCTATACGGTAGATATGGGATGGGGCCCAGTAGGGGCTGTGCTCAAAAGACAGAGCACTTTGAAAAAGATCTGCTTACTACAGCGCACTCTTCTTCAGTCAGGGACACACACACACTCCCTGTTGACCTTCACCGGAGCGTGCATACACACACACATACATCACACACATCTGTGAGCGATCTCCATGGGGGAAACGCTCCATTTGCGCACACACAGAAACAATTACTCTCTCCACACCGTGAGCACATAATTACAGTGGCTTGCGAAAGTATTCACCCCCCTTGGCATTTTTCCTATTTTGTTGCCTTACAACCTGGAATTAAAAAATGGATTTTTTGGGGGTTTGTATCATTTGATTTACACAACATGTCTACCACTTTGAAGATGCAAAATATTTTTTATTGTGAAACAAACAAGAAATGACAAAAAAATAAGAAAACTTGAGCGTGCATACCTATTCACCCCCCCAAAGTCAATAATCTGTAGAGCCACCTTTTGCAGCAATTACAGCTGCAAGTCTCTTGGGGTATGTCTCTATAAGCTTGGCACATCTAGCCACTGGGATTTTTTCCCATTCTTCAAGGCAAAACTGCTACAGCTCTTTCAAGTTGGATGGGTTCCGCTGGTATACATTCATCTTTAAGTCATACCACAGATTCTCAATTGGATTGAGGTCTGGGCTTTGACTAGGCCATTCCAAGACATTTAAATGTTTCCCCTTAAACCACTCGAGTGTTGCTTTAGCAGTATGCTTAGGGTCATTGTCCTGCTGGAAAGTAAACCTCCGTCCCAGTCTCAAATCTCTGGAAGACTGAAACAGGTTTCCCTCAAGAATTTCCCTGTATTTAGCGCCATCCATCATTCCTTCAATTCTGACCAGTTTCCCAGTCCCTGCCGATGAAAAACATCCCCACAGAATGATGCTGCCACCACAATGCTTCACTGTGGATGGTGTTCTCGGGGTGATGAGAGGTGTTGGGTTTGCGCCAGACATAGCGTTTTCCTTGATGGCCAAAAAGCTCAATTTTAGTCTCATCTGACCAGAGTACTTTTTTCCCCAATGTTTGGAGAGTCTCCCACATGCCTTTTGGCGAACACCAAATGTGTTTGCTTATTTTTCTCTTTAAGCAATGGCTTTTTTTCTGGCCACTCTTCCGTAAAGCCCAGCTCTGTGGAGTGTACGGCTTAAAGTGGTCCTATGGACAGATACTCCAATCTCCGCTGTGGAGCTTTGCAGCTCCTTCAGGGTTATCTTTGGTCTCTTTGTTGCCTCTCTGATCAATGCCCTCCTTGCCTGGTCCGTGAATTTTGGTGGTTTTTTTATAACCCAACCCTGATCTGTACTTCTCCACAACTTTGTCCCTGACCTGTTTGGAGAGCTCCTTGGTCTTCATGGTGCCGCTTGCTTGGTGGTGCCCCTTGCTTAGTGGTGTTGCAGACTCTGGGGCCTTTCAGAACCGGTGTATATATACATTGAGATCATGTGACAGATCATGTGACACTTAGATTGCACACAGGTGGACTTTATTTAACTAATTCTGTGACTTCTGAAGGTAATTGGTTGCATCAGATCTTATTTAGGGGCTTCATAGCAAAGGGTGTGAATACATATGCACGCACCACTTTTCCATTATTTATTTTTTTGAATTCTTTTAAACAAGTTATTTTTTTCATTTCACTTCACCAATTTGGACTATTTTGTGTATGTCCATTACATGAAATCCAAATAAAAATCCATGAATAAAGTGGGTTGAGTCTATTCCTTTAAACATTGAACCGCTGTGGTTCACAACAATTCTAATTTCTAAAGGTGGAAGTTGGTAGAGTTTTTGTTCGGGTGGTTCAGTGAAACAATTATAGTTTCTGAGGTAGAAGTTTTTGGTGAGAGGGCCCTGCTCTCTCCTCTCCCTGATGTTTAGCTCATTTCATTCCGATCTCCTCTGCATTATTGTAGCCATTTGCTACAGCCTGTCAACTATGCTTCTGCCTATCCCTGTTCTCTCCTCTCTGCACAGGCTACACAAACGCCCCACACCGCGTGGCTGCTGCCTCTCTAACCTGGTGGTCCCTGCACGCACCCCACACCTGGAGTTCCAGGTCTCAGGCAGCCTCTGGAACTGCCGTTCTGCTGCCAACAAAGCTGACTTCATCCCAGCCTATGCTAACCTCCAGTCCCTCGACTTCCTGGCGCTGACGGAAACATGGATTACCACTGAAAACACTGCTACTCCTACTGCTCTCTCCTCGTCTGACCATGTGTTCTCGCATACCCCGAGAGCATCTGGTCAGAGGGGTGGTGGCACAGGAATCCTCATCTCTCCCAAGTGGACATTCTCAATTTTTCCCCTAACCCATCTGTCTATCTCCTCATTTGAATTCCATGCTGTCACAGTCACTAGCCCATTTAAGCTTAATATCCTTGTCATCTATCGCCCTCCAGGTTCCCTTGGAGAGTTCATCAATGAGCTTGACGCCTTGATAAGTTCCTTTCCTGAGGATGGCTCACCCCTCACAGTTTTGGGGGATTTCAACCTCCCTATGTCTACATTTGACTCATTTCTCTCTGCCTCCTTCTTTCCACTCCTCTCCTCTTTTGACCTCACCCTCTCACCGTCCCCCCCTACTCACAAGGCAGGCAATACGCTTGACCTCATCTTTACTAGATGCTGCTCTTCTACTAATCTCACTGCAACTCCCCTCCATGTCTCCGACCACTACTTTGTTTCCTTTTCTCTCTCGCTCTCCTCCCACACTACTCACTCTGCCCCTACACAGATGGTAATGCGCCGTCGCAACCTTCGCTCTCTCTCTCCCACTACTCTCTCCTCTTCCATCCTATCATCTCTTCCCTCTGCTCAATCCTTCTCCCTCCAATCTCCTGATTCTGCCTCCTCAACCCTCCTCTCCTCCCTTTCTGCATCCTTTGACTCTCTGTGTCCCCTATCCTCCCGGCCGGCTCGGTCCTCCCCTCCAGCTCCGTGGCTTGATGACTCATTGCGAGCTCACAGAACAGAGCTCCGGGCAGCTGAGCGGAAATGGAAGAAAACTAAACTCCCTGCCGACCTGGCATCTTTTCACTCCCTCCTCTCTACATTTTCTTCATCTGTTTCTGCTGCTAAGGCCACTTTCTACCACTCTAAATTCCAAGCATCTGCCTCTAACCCTAGGAAGCTCTTTGCCACTTTTTCCTCCCTGCTGAATCCCCCCCCCCCCCCCCCCCCCCCCCCCCCCCCCCCTCCTCTCTCTCTGTGGATGACTTCGTCAACCACTTTGAAAAGAAGGTTGACGACATCCGATCCTCGTTTGTTAAGTCTAATGACACTGCTGGTCCTACTCACATTGCCCTACCCTATGCTTTGACTTCTTTCTCCCCTCTCTCTCCAGATAAAATCCTGCGACTTGTGACTGCAGGCCGCCCAACAACCTGCCCGCTTGACCCCATCCCCTCCTCTCTTCTCCAGACCATCTCCGGTGACCTTCTCCCCTACCTCACCTCGCTGATCAACTCATCCTTGACCGCTGGCCATGTCCCTTCCGTCTTCAAGAGAGCGAGAGTCGCTCCCCTTCTCAAAAAACCAACACTCGATCCCACTGATGTCAACAACTACAGACCAGTATCCCTTCTTTCTTTTCTTTCCAAAACTATTGAGCGTGCCGTCTTTAGCCAACTCTCTTGCTATCTCTCTCAGAATGACCTTCTTGATCCAAACCAGTCAGGTTTCAGGACTGGTCATTCAACTGAGACTGCTCTTCTCTGTGTCACGGAGGCTCTCCGCACTGCTAAAGCTAACTCTCTCTCCTCTGCTCTTGTCCTTCTAGACCTGTCTGCTGCCTTTGATACTGTGAACCATCAGATCCTCCTCTCCACCCTCTCCGAGCTGGGCATCTCCGGCGCGGCTCACTCCTGGATGGCGTCCTACCTGACCGGTCGCTCCTACCAAGTGGCGTGGCGAGAAGCTGTCTCCGCACCACGTGCTCTCACCACTGGTGTCCCCCAGGGCTCAGTTCTAGGCCCTCTCCTTTTCTCCCTATACACCAAGTCACTTGGCTCTGTCATATCCTCACATGGCCTCTCCTATCATTGCTACGCTGACGATACACAACTAATCTTCTCCTTTCCCCCTTCTGATAACCAGGTGGCGAATCGCATCTCTGCATGTCTGGCAGACATATCAGTATGGATGACGGATCACCACCTCAAGCTGAACCCTGGCAAGACGGAGCTGCTCTTCCTCCCGGGGAAGGACTGCCCGTTCCATGATCTCGCCATCACGGTTGACAACTCCGTTGTGCCCTCCTCCCAGAGTGCGAAGAGCCTTGGCGTGACCCTGGACAACACCCTGTCGTTCTCCGCTAACATCAAGGCGGTGACCCGCTCCTGCAGGTTCATGCTCTACAACATTCGGAGAGTACGACCCTGCCTTACACAGGAAGCGGCACAGGTCCTAATCCAGGCACTTGTCATCTCCCGTCTGGACTACTGCAACTCGCTGTTGGCTGGCCTCCCTGCCTGTGCCATTAAACCCCTACAACTCATCCAGAATGCCGCAGCCCGTGTGGTGTTCAACCTTCCCAAGTTCTCTCACGTCACCCCCCTCCTCCGCACACTCCACTGGCTTCCAGTTGAAGCTCGCATCCGTTACAAGACCATGGTGCTTGCCTATGGAGCAGTGAGGGGAACGGCACCTCTGTACCTTCGGGCTCTGATCAGTCCCTACACCCAAACGAGGGCATTGCGTTCATCCACCTCTGGCCTGCTGGCTCCCCTTCCTCTGCGGAAGCATAGTTCCCGCTCAGCCCAGTCAAAACTGTTCGCTGCTCTGGCACCCCAATGGTGGAACAAGCTCCCTCACGACGCCAGGACAGCGGAGTCACTCACCACCTTCCGGAGACATTTGAAACCCCACCTCTTTAAGGATTACCTGGGATAGGATAAAGTAATCCTTCTACCCCCCCCCCCCCCCCCCCCCAAAAAAAAAAATTGTAAAGTGGTTTTCCCACTGGCTATAGGGTGAATGCACCAATTTGTGAGTCGTTCTGGATAAGAGCGTCTGCTAAATGACGTAAATGTGCCCTTGAGCAAGGCACTTAACCCTAATTGCTCCTGTAAGTCGCTCTGGATAAGAGCGTCTGCTAAATGACTAAAATGTAAAAATTTAAATTTAAATTTAAATTACAGGTTGTAATGCAACAAAATAGGAAAAACACCAAGGGGGATGACTACTTTTGTAAGGCACTGTACACCTTCAACACTGGAGATCAGGATTGGAATTCAATCCAGACTTAAACCAGACTGCTAATTAAAACGTGCAAATCTGATCCCAATACAGATCAACCATAGGCTACAGTAAGTGTTTGGATTAGCAGGACAGTCAACTGTTTGGTTCTATACGTTTGTCTGTGCTGTATGGTGAATATTTCTAATTGAGTACAGTATATTTCTGTATTAACCAATTTTTTTTCCATTTTTGCCTAAAATGACATACCCAAATCTAACTGCCTGTAGCTCAGGACCTGAAGCAAGGATATGCATATTCTTGATACCATTTGAAAGGAAACACTTTGAAGTGTGTGGAAATGTGAAATTAATATAGGAGAATATAACACATTAGATCTGGTAAAAGATAATACAAACAAAAAAAACATCTGTTTTCTATAAAAAAAATGGATCCATCATCTTTGAAACGCAAGAGAAAGGCCACAATATAATATTGAAGATTAGGCGCAATTTAGATTTTGGCTACTAGATGGCAGCAGTGTTTGTGCAAAGTTTCAGATTGATCCAGTGAAGCATTGTAATACTGGACTATTTTGTATAAAGTCTGCCCAAATGTGCCAAATTGGTCAATTGATACATTTTCAAGTACATAACTATAGAGAACATACAAAAATGATATTGTAATATAAAATGTAAGTTTACACACTCCCAGGAATGTCATACATGATGGATCATTAGCTTACACACTAACTTTCACACATCTAGATGGCCGGGTGGGGTGGGTGTGGAGCCAGAGACAGCAGGGGTTCAAACTGTAGAACCCAGTTCCTACATTTGAATATAAAAATGGATTTTATCAAACAAAACTATGCTACATTTTATTTCTGGGATCCTTAGGATGACAAATCAGAGCAAATTTACTGAATGTAAGTACATTATTTACCTTCAGAGGTGAATGTATCAAACCAGTTGCTGTGATAATTTTGTTGTGCACTCTCCTCAAACAATAGCATGGTATTTTTTCACTGTAATAACCACTGTAAATTGGACAGTGCAGTTAGATTAACAATAATTTAAGCTTCTGCCCATATAAGACATGTCTATGTCCTGGAAAGTTTGCTGTTACTTACAACAGTCATGCTAATCACAATAGCTCAACCGTCCGTATACGGAACACCGATCCCGTAAAGGTTAAACTCAAGGATATATCTCCTTTCATCTTTCTCCATCTAGACAGGCTGTGAAACAACTGGCCATGACACTGACACTGCCTTTAATGTACATTGATTCTCTTAGAATATAGGAATATTATTAATGCACGCTTCAACACACACACACACACACACACACACACACACACACACACACACACACACACACACAACCCACCCCCAACACACACATCTGTGTGTGCACTTCAAAGTAATCACAACTTCCACTGAGCCCAGTTCCATTTCTCCTGCCTTATTATTGCCCAAAGCTGTCAGAAGCCAGAGAGTCGGTGGGCTGCTGATATAATATACACAACTGAAGAAGACGCAGCTTCCATCTCCCGTCACAGAGGCACTGACAGAGTCTCGCTCTTACACAATGGGCTAAGAGCTCTCCTCTCCTCTCAACATCCAGACACCTCAGGCTGTGCCATTAAACAGTTTTACTGGAGTGGAGTGCTCTCTCTCTCTCTCTCTCTCTCTCTCTCTCTCTCTCTCTCTCTCTCTCTCTCTCTCTCTCTCGCTGTGTGCATCTGTGAGCCTGAAGCTGATTTGGAACAATTTCACACACTGGATGTATCATAAAATATGTACAGAATGTGGGGATTGCGTTGAGAAAGAGAAACTCACAGGAAATATTTGAAATGACTCAAAATTAAAATGTATGGTTCACTGCATAGCTAAATGGAGTTCGCAGCACTACTCGTGAAACAAGTAATGTATACATAAACTGTTAGCTCAAGTTTCAAGTTTTATAAGTCGTATGTACAGGATACGCATGGTATACACCGTCCAACGAAATGCTTACTTACAGGTTCCTTCTCGACAATAAGAAATAATGAAAGATAAGAATAGGAACATAAAGTAAATGGCTCAGTAGAATAGAATCAACATGTTAGCATCAGTATAATACATGAAGGCACAATTTATAGTCCAATATTTACACGTGTTTTGGGGAAGGGGGATTGGGGGGGGGGGGGGCAAGTGTTTAAATTGTGCAGTATTTAGCCATTATAATTAGAGTCTGGTAGCAGCAGTTGTGATGTGTGTGTAGCATGAATGTATGTATGTTTATAGCATGAATGAATGAGTGAGTGAGTGAGTAAGTGAGTGAGTGTGTGCGCGCACATGTGAAAGAGTGCATGTGTGCTAAGGCGCGGACAATCAGAGCAGGTAGTCAGTCTAGTTAAAGGTTTTCAGCAGTCTGCCTCTGAGCCTGTTGGTATCAGACCTCATGCTCCGATATCGTCTGCCCGACCGTAAGGGAGAGAACAGCTCGTGGCTGGGGTGTGTGGGGACCTTGATGATGCTGCAGGCCTTCCTCAGGCACTGTTTCGAGTAGATGTCCTGGATGGGTGGCAGCACAGTCCAAGTAATGTACTGGGCAGTCTTCACCACCCGCTGGAGGGCCTTGCGGTTGTAGACGGAGCAATTCCCATAACAGGCCGTGATGCAACCGATTAGGACACTCGATGGTGCAGCGGTAGTATTTGGAGAGGACCCGAGGTGGTAGACCCGAGAGTTAGTGTGGAGGAGGTGTTGTTGCCAATCCTCACAGCCTGTGGTCTGCCCGTCAGGAAGTCCAGGATCCAGTTGCAGAGGGTGGTGTCCAGACCCTGGGCTCTGAGCTTGGTGTCGAGCTTGGAGGGAACAATAGTGTTGAATGCTGAACTGCAGTCAATGAACAGCATTCTCACATAGGTGTTCGTCTTGTCCAGATGTGTTACGGCCGTGTGAATAGTGATGGACATGGAATCTTCCGTGGGTCTGTTGGAGCGGTAGGTATGATGGCCTTGATGTGTCCATGACCAGCCATCCAAATACTTCATGATGACCGGGGTGAGAGTGACGGGGCGATAGTCATTTGGGCATGTCACCTTGTTTTTCTTGGGCACTGGGACGATGATGGTCTCCTTGAAGCAGGTGGGGACTACAGCCTGGAACAGGAACAGGTTGAAGATGTCTGAGAAGACGCTTGCCAGCACACACTCTGAGGATGCGGCCAGGGATGCCATCTGGGTTGGCGGCTTTGTGAGTATTCACTCTTTTGAGAGTTTTCCTCACGTCAGCCTCGGAGAGCGAAAGCACCTGGTCTTCCGGAGCAGCAAGTCTTCCTGGATGGCTCGGTATTGTCTGCCTTGAAGCGAGCATAGAATGTGTCAAGCTTGTCTGGGAGGGAGGCTTCGTGGGCACCACACAGCTGGATTTGCCTTTGTAGTCTGTGATAGCATGTAGTCCTTGCCACATGCGTCGCGAGTCTGAGTTGACAAACATCAATTCAAGTTTGAGCTGGAATCCTTACTGGTGAAACTGCCATGTCTGTTTGTGATATTACAACAACAAAGAAGTTACTGCAATCAACAAGTTACTGCAATCAGTTGACAAAAAGACATCATTGCACGTGTAATAGAACAGCAGAATATGTACTGCAATATTTTTTTTAACACATTGGGCGACACTCCTCACCTCCGCTTTGTTAACAAAACAAAAACAATAACAATGGCCGTAGGGCAGAATATGATTGACAGATAACAGAATATGATTGATCAATATTCAAGGACAAAAGGAAGGAGCAGAAAGCTCTTAGTGCATTTTAATAGTCCTGTACAGTATCTAGCTTCGGTGTTGTACCCAATGATGTTATACTGCACATGTACATGTCATGTTATGATGTGTGTCATTGTACCTTTGTAGAGGTTCTTGGGGTTCTGACAGGTGTGCCCGCAGCCATTGGAGCAGCACTTCTTGACAGCGGAGCACTCTCCATCCTCCTCGCAGCTCTCCACACAGGCTGCAGCGAAGCCACTGGCCTTATCAGGAGCCGGGCAGTCCCCCTGCTTCACCCCCTCCACAGACTTCAGGAACTCACAGCTAGTCAGACACTCATAGTGCTTCTTGGGAAAGAGAGTCTGGAGGGTAGAGGGGGAGGAGGAGGTGGTAGGAGGAAGGGGGGGGGGGGTCAGGAGGAAATTTGACTTCTGCTTTTAACCCAGCCCCTCCGAAAGACACATACATACACAAAGGTTTTGGAGAGGTGCAGGGGGCTGCCACACTGAGCGCCTGGGGAGCTGTTGTTGAGGGGGGTTAAGTGCCTTGCTCAAGGGCACAACAACATGCAATGGTATCTAAGATTTCATACCAGCAACCCTCCGGTTGCCAGCTCACTTCCCGACAGATTGCAGGCTTACCTCTCTAACCGCTAGGCTACCTGCCGAACAGGAAGGTCAGTGAGCTAACAGGCAGGTCAGTGAGCTAAGCTCAGTGAACTATGGGCTGCAGGTAGCCTAGCGGTTAGAAGCATTGGGCCAATAACAGAAAGGTCGCTGGTTCGAATTCCCGAGCTGACTAGGTGAAAAATCTGTTGGTGTGCCCTTGAGCGAGGCAATTAACCCTAATTGCTCCTGTAAGTCGCTCTGGATAAGAGTGTCTGTAAAATGTCTAACAGGCAGGGCAGTTAGCTAACAGGGATTGTCCTGTTTACATTGGACCTGATGACTAATTTGAGTGGTGAGCAAGTTAAACAGCTTTTATTCAATCTAACACAGAGTGCCATTACATTACAGTAGAGAGAAAAGAGTCTCCACTTTGCTTGATGCTCTTTGTTCCCTCAGATTTTCAGACTTTCAGACTCTGGAGGGAGCACTCAAACTCTGAGAGTCAGAGATGACATACGTACCTCGCATAAGTCCTGGCACTGGTTTTCCTTCAGGTCCCAGGATTCCTTGCAGGGCTGTAGGCACTGTGAAAGGGAGAAGGAAGGGTGTCAGTGCTTGAAAGAGCTAGCCACATCAAAGAACTGCGTGTGAGCGGAGCCAGAGAGGGAGGGTCTCTCACTCAATTCAAAGGGGCTTTATTGGCATAGGAAACATGTTTACATTGCCAAAGAAAGTGAAATTAACAATAAACAAAAGTGAGAAGAAACAAATTTACTATTAGAAATTAACAGTAAAACATTGCACTGAAAAAGGTTTTAAAAAATTGAAATGTCAAGTGTTATATTATCAGCTATGTACAATGTTTTAGCAATGTGCAATTAGTTGTAGTACGAATAGTAGGGGGAGATAAATAAACAGATAAATATTGGTGGTATTTATTATGTTGTTTGTGCTCCAGTGATTGCCCTTTTCTCATGGCAACGGGCCATTAATCTTGCTGCTGGTAAATATGTCTCTCTAATGTGGTCATACATTTGGCAGGAGGTTCGGAAGTGCAGCTCAGTTTCCACCTCATTTTGTGGACAGTGGGCGCAGATCTTGTCTTCTCTTGAGAGCCAGGTCTGCCTATGGCGACCTCTCTCAATCGCAAGGCTATGCTCACAGAGTCTGTACATAGTCAAGGATTTCTTAATTTTGAGTCAATCACAGTGGTCAGGTATTCTGCCACGGTGTACTCTGTTTAGGGCCAAATAGCATTCCAATTTGCTCAATTTTTTGGATGATTATTTCCAGTGTGTCAAATAGTTATCTTTTTGCTTTCTCATAATTTGGTTAGGTCTAATTTCATCGCTGTCCTGGGGCTCTGTGGGGTCTGTTTGTGTTTGTGAACAGAGCCCCAGAACCAGCTGGCTGAGGTGACTTTTCTCTAGGTTCATCTCTCTGTAGGTGAGGGGTTTGTGGTGGAATGTGCATTGCTTCCTTTTAGGTGGTTGTAGAATTTAACAGCCCTTTTCTGAATTTTGATAACTAGCGGGTATAGTCCTAATTCTGCTCAGCATGCATTGTTTTAAGTTTCTCTCTCTCTCCCCCTCTCTCACTCAAGTGGAATATATAAGAAACAAAGTGGAATAGATAAGAAACAAAGTGGAATAGATAAGAAACAAAGTGGAATAGATAAGAAACAAAGTGGAATAGATAAGAAACAAAGTGGAATAGATAAGAAACAAAGTGGAATAGATAAGAAACAAAGTGAAATAAACAATTTCGAAATGTATATTAAACATTACACTCACAAAAGTAAAAAGAAAAATACATTTCAAATGTTATATTACTGGCTATGTAGTTGAATTCTCCCTCCCTCTCCCCCTCTGACTGCCAAGCACCTCCCTAAGCCACTTCCACAGCACACACCACAATCAGCAGTCACACCTCTTTGTTGCAGATGCCCCACATACCTTCTGAGAACATCAACAATTTTCTACAAAAGGAGGTAACAGGCCAAGGCCCAATGGGGATTCGTTTCTGAATAGAGCAAAGAGCACAAAGTCACCGTGACTACCAAAATCCATTCAATAGCTGGGATATTTTGTCTGGCTCTTCTGCCCTTGACAAATTCCCTTCAAAAATGCATCCGCATAACCCCCCTCAACCACCCTATCCTCCCCTTCCACCTCATGTCTGGACCTGATACAGTTTGGCACTGGCACAAACACTCTCCCTCTCTTGCTCTCTGTACCTCGACCAGTTGTACACAGATCGTATGGTTAATAGATGATACACCCAGTTAAAATGTTATTGGGATTCCCTTTTTAAACACGTGGAACTTATTTACTGGATGTTTGCCCCGCGGGCATGGGCTCAAAGAGGAGCCTAGTTGTGACTGCAGTGCAAGTTGTTTAGCCCAACATATCGGATGAGGAATTGAAAATGAAAATACACCAATAACGGTCAGATTCCTCTCGCTGTAAATACAACAGCTCGCCCTCAACAAATCAAAAACTCAAGGCTAAATGTAATAAAACATGAAAGTTCATGCATGTCCAAGGGAATCAGGCATCAGATGCCACCGCAGAAAAGGGGCATGAGTTCAGAACCTCAGATAGGATAAAGGGGCTGGAGGTTGATGTGTTCCTGGTGCTGCTAGCTGGCTGCTACAGAACCAGTGGTACTAGCAGAACCAGTAGGAGAGTCTCCCACAGAGGAACCACTGCTGGGCTGCTGCTTCTGTGTAGCCACTGGGACGGGCCCAAACCACAGTGACCAGAGACCTGCCAGAGCTAGTCATTCAGCTCCATTCAATTTAGACCCTCTGCACCAGCTCCAACACAGAGACCCAGCAGCTAACTGTCAACAGACTCCACCACCGCATTCCTCGTATGGGAAAGTTCAATATGTTGGTCAGCAGGGGGGAATAATCTTTGATAAACAAGAGATGGAAACATTCCGTGAGAAGAGAAATGAGAGCTAATGAGGGTTCGTGAGGTGAACTTCTGGCCAGAGACTTCTGGATGTCTCGCTTCAGTCTCACAGACCATTAGATATTAGATACAGTATATTAGTCATTCAGAGGATAAAGTACAGTATTTGTCCATGTTTCACTGACGCAGAGACAAGCACATAATAATCTCTTAAAATGCACCGTTGATGTAAGAAATGACTCATCTCAGTCAGGGAGGTGAATCTGTGTTTATGAGTTTTTAATTAGCTCATTAGCAGCGTCTGTCGTTATGCCATTTCCAGTGAAAAGTTTATTTGCTTTTTATGGAGTGCGTAGGACGGGCACATGTTGAAGTGTAAACCTGGCTTCTGGGAGGAACATGGAGCAATCAGGGCCCTGCGCTCGGCTCACCTGCCAGTTCTCAATTACACACTGTGGTCTCTGTTAGAACTCTGCTCGCTTGGTCTCACCTCCTGAGTGGGGTTGGAGGAACACTGTCTGGGTTGGAGGAACACTGTCTGGGTTGGAGGAACTCTGTCTGGGTTGGAGGAACACTGTCTGGGTTGGAGGAACACTGTCTGGGTTGGAGGAACTCTGTCTGGGTTGGAGGAACACTGTCTGGGTTGGAGGAACACCGTCTGGGTTGGAGGAACTCTGTCTGGGTTGGAGGAACACTGTCTGGGTTGGAGGAACACCGTCTGGGTTGGAGGAACTCTGTCTGGGTTGGAGGAACACTGTCTGGGTTGGAGGAACTCTGTCTGGGTTGGAGGAACTCTGTCTGGGTTGGAGGAACTCTGTCTGGGTTGGAGGAACACTGTCTGGACATTCAAGTGTTGAGGACTGAGAGAAAGGGGATAGAGGCGGGAGACAGTTCCATTTTTCTTCAGTGGCTTCAACCTCCCCTAAAACCAAGTACAGTATTGACTGGATGTGACGAGTTCAGAATAAACCCCTGGGGATTAAAAATAAACCACTGTGGTGTTCCACAGAATACTTCAGGGGAAAAACACAGAAATAACTTTCAATAGACCTTCAAGTGCATTATTGAATGTAAAACTATTGCTCTAACATACTCATTCATATAAAATGCATGTTTACATAATCTTACTGAAGTGTCTTTCAAAACCGCATATGTCCTCACAAATGAAAGGCTTAATTTAGCCCATTTAACTTAGCCCATTTCCAGTGGCAGTACAGGGTAGTAGCAGCACTAATGACCAGCCTTCCAGAGGCACCATCCTGGAACAATGAGGTGTTGAGGCAGTGGCTTCTGCTCCAGCAGCCTCTCTAGCCGAAAGGAACCTCAGCCAGCAGACACAGCACATGCCAAAGCCCTAAAATCCCCTCTACAAATCACTGAACATACACACGTAAGCCGCGGGATCAAGCCAATTTTCCCATTGAAAGATCTTGTGTGCATGGGAATTAATGCATTCCATTGGTTGAAGAAAGGCTCTGGTCCCTTTATGGTTAATCACAATTGGATCTATATGGGAAGTGAAAATGGATTGAAACTTGCGTTTGAAATGCTCGCGTGTCAAGACAAGTGGAATTCAGATGGCATTCCATGCTCAAAAGATTACAACATAGATCCGACCTTGTATGTTAGCGCATGAAGCCTATCACTTTCGACATTCGTCTCACAATGACTTTGTACAAAAAAATATGTTTTCATACAATAATAAAAAAACGATGCCGAAATACAAAAGAAAGGAAGTGCATTCCTAAGGATTTTGCCTGTCTGACAATCTCTTTCTCTGAGGGAGTGGATATGTCATAAAAGATGATAAGTATTTGAGTTCCTCACTGTGAGAGCTCTCCCAGGTACCTGACAATCTGTCAGCGTTTCCCGACAGTCACACCCACAGAACGGACATTTTAGTAGGACAGGGGGCGTGAACCACGACAGATCTCTTGCCAAAGCAAATAGGAGACGCTCTGTATAATTACAAAGGTGACTCATCAATCAAAAGACAACATGGAAGCGAAGGCGGGTAATTGCGCTGGTCATGTTGCATCTGTCTGGTTAACCTGGGTGCCAGTCTGAGATAGAGTTGAAGCTAATGCCTAAGACTGGCATCCAGGCTAACATCTTTTGGAATAACAATGCCACACGAGATTGTTCTATGATGCGTTAACATATTTATATGCAAGTTTCTACACAAAAAAATATGTTGACTTGAAATGTAGTCCCGTGTAGCTCAGTTGGTAGAGGATGGTGCTTGCAACACCAGGGTTGTGGGTTCGATTCCCACGGGGGACCAGTATGAAAATGTATGCACTCACTAACTGTAAGTCGCTCTGGTTAAGAGCGTCTGCTAAATGACTAAAATGTAAAATGTAAATGTTTTCACTCCCAGATGTGAACAAGCACATTGGCTATCAGTAGAGGCTTGAGTTCCACCAGAGCTCTTGGCTAGAGCAATGTCCCAACAAAACCGTTTGTGCTCCCAACTCTCCCTTTGTGTGCTTATCATCCTCCCTAAACAGTGATACAGTACATTCTGCATGGCTAAGTAGAGCCAGCCATGGCCTGTCACTCCCCATTTCACGCTGTAGTAAAACACAGCAGTTGTTGCACTGGTGAGCCCTGAAAGGCTTTCTGTGGGGCCGATGTGAGAGTCAGAGACTGAATGGCTGCCAATGCCACAGCCCCGTCCTCAGTTTGTTACGGAGTAGGGCGTTGGTTGTGTGGGGAGGAAAGGCAGGTGAGTGGGGGGGACAGGGGGGAAAACGGCTCAGCTGTGTGCCTGCGTGCGCATCCTAGAACGGTGGCTGGGCTGGGGGCATGCTGGTTATCTTAGGCCATCGTAAAAAAGGCTCACTTCCCAACGGGGACAGCTGGAACAACACAAACTCTGAAAAATGTCTTGCATAAAATGTCACAGAAAGTGTTATGCTACAGTTAATGAAGCGTGAAACGCTACCAGACGAGATTGCCGCGGGCTTCACAACACACACTGTAGACATAACAAAAGGCAGGAACATCACTCACACTAACGTATTACATAGGACACGTTTCCCATACTGTCTGAGCATATTTCTACAATCATGGGGCGGGTTTAGGAGAGATGTGTGTGGCTTTCCGACGACAAGCTATATGATTGATTCCTTCATTTCATAAACATACTGTGATCCATCAAATAAACATAATATTTCTACACGTGGATAACCAATATGAGAGCTTTCTATCCATTCTTTTAACTATGAAGTTGACTATAAAGTCACCTAGGCCCTATGCATACATAACATAACAGGCCTCCCAATCCATCATATACGTTCCACCCCCATAAAGCAAAAGATGGTTGGGGCCAGTAGAAACTATCGATCGTGGCCCTGAAGTTCAATGTCAGCTTGGCGAGGCGAGCTGGTGGTCGGGGGGATATTTACGAGGTGTGTTTTGAGTCCCAGGGAGGGTGCAGCACTGCAGCAGGAGGTACCAAACTCCTCTGGGAGAGGGCGATATGGAGGGATCTCTGTTGTTGATCACACGCTGTAAATCTCACCTATCTCATTGAGTTATGACCCTTTTCTGCTGCCCTGGCACCACCCACACACACACACCAGACTCAATTACTCCAGCGCCGCTCGCTTGCTAGGAGCCCCGCTCATATTTATCGACCCACACAGGAGCTACCACTGCTCACCAGGTCCTACTCTGGTGCAGTGGTTAAAGTTCTCCCACTCTCCTTCTCTCCGTCTCAGAAGAGCCGCTATGAGCACCATTACTCTTGATGTTTCTCCCGTCTTCCCCATGTTCCCCTCATTCTTATTCATGGCAGAGGGCCCACTTCAAACTGCATTAGAGAATTCAAAGTCAGCTTGATTTCCATCCAAATCCATATTCAAGTCGAGCGTTTTATTTCAACCCTGTCCTAGAAAACATAAAAAAAGTGAATTTCATGACGTATATGAAATGAATTGAAGTTGTACATCTGGTGAGAGGTTGCCTGTCGGCTGATGCACACAGGGAGTATCAAAACAAGCATGAGGTCAACACATCAGTTGAAACATATTTCATTGAGTGTTGGGTTGTGAATAAGTCGAAGATTGTATGCTCAATACGTCTTTGATTTGTCATTAACTTTCATAGGATTGTAAAAATGTTGAGAATAAATCTGGGTGGAGTGACTATCGTGAGCTATTACACTGTAAAGTTCAGAGCACCTTTAGTTCAGGAAACCTTCCACGTTGTTCCTTCAGTGGACTGTGAGTAACATGAGGTGTGGTCGTGCATAAGGCTCTCAGGTTGTCTCTCTCTGTGTGCAGTAAACCAACACAGGTGCATTTGGAAATTCAGTCAAGGCACGCTACCACACTAGTGTGTGAGTGGATTAGGTATGTCAAGGTTGGAGGAGAAGGAGACCGATTAACTGAAGTGCTCTAACTTGAAACATGATTCTACGTCTCCCCTCCCCAGCACACAAACAAACGGACACACGCGCATCCATGCACGTGTAGCACATGGGGATGTGTGAAACTTATGTCTTGTTCACATTACCAATAAGCACTCCGTTACGTTGCACCGGATGTCATGCATTTCAATGGGGATGTCCACAACGGAGTGGAATCGCAACGTCCGGACGCATGCGTGTGTGTTAGTCAAACTGCACGCTGCTTCACACACTGACCAACGAAAGGTAGGCCACGCGTCACCTTCAGCATTCAAATGTTTGTAAAACGGCTTGTGAAATATTAGGCTTTATAAGTTGAGTGACAACCAATGTTAATTTGTTAGGTTATTGTTTTCAAATGCGCTGTTGAAAATTGTGTTTTACCGGAGCTTGTTCAAGTTCACCATCAGCAATAGTTTGGGTAGTTTAGCTTTGAACAATCATGTACACTGAGAGTATAAAACATTAAGAACACCTTCCTAATATTGAGTTGCACCCCTTTTGCCCTCAGCACAGCCTCAATTCGTCGGGGCATGGACTCGACAAGGTGTCAAAGGCGTTCCACAGGGATGCTGGCCAATGTTAACTCCAATGCTTCACAGAGTTGTGTCAAGTTGGCTGGATGTTCTTCAGGTGGTGGACCATTCTTGATACAGACGGGAAACTGTTGAGCGTGAAAAACCCTGCAGCGTGCAGTTCTTGACACACTCAAACCGCCTGGCACCTACTACCATACCTCATTCAAAGGCACTTAAATATTTTGTCTTGCCCATTTACCCTCTGAATGGCACACATACACAATCCATGTCTCAATTGTCTCATGGCTTAAAAATCCTTCTTTAACCTGTCTCCTCCCCTTCATCTACACTGATTAAAGTGGATTTAACAAGTGACATCAATAAGGGATCATAGCTTTCACCTGGTCAGTCTATGTCATGGAAAGAGCAGGTGTTCCTAATGTTTTGTTTATGGTCATTCTTAGATATACAGGGTAAAGCTGATAATTTCATAACGAGGACTGTAAGAATTATTGCTACCTGCACTGCATGGGCGAAACGGAGGAGAGAAAGGTTCATTCCCTAAAGACTTCTAACCAGTCTAAACCTTTCGATTTGGAGACGTGGGTGAAATCCAAATGTGTGTTATATATTCATTGGCTATGTGATAGTACATTTTTAAAGATGAATATTGATTGATACATTACTAGCTCCAACACTTGGAATCTGCAAAAATGACATTAATTAGTGGTGATGGTGATTTCAGATCAAAAGTGTGGGGGGGGGGGGGGGGGGGGGACCAAAAGCAACCATTTCCCCCCTTATCTGATAGTGGAGAGGTAGATGCCCAGTCTCCCTTATGCCTACATACACCATGGACATATACATCATTTACACAGACAGACAGAGAGGAGGTCAGTTCAGACAGATCCAGCTCAGACAGATCCAGTTCAGACAGATCCAGCTCAGACAGATCCAGCTCAGACAGATCCAGCTCAGACAGATCCAGCTCAGGAGCTCCATCAGCAGCAGATTTGATTTTAGAAAGGAAAATGAATGTGTTCAAGCAACAAATGTTAGTGCATCGAATCGTACCACATCGAACCGCATCGATTCGTTCCACTATTCCTCCCAAATCACACAGAATCGTTTCAAAGTCAAATGTATCGTTCCTGTATCGTATCAGAGCCCATGTATCTAGATACGTATCGAATCGTCTTGAGGGAAAGATGCAGTTCCCTACTTTTTAGCTAGCTTTTCGTATGCCACCGACTGGTAAGACGCTTCAGGTAGGCAGTCACGTGTGCTAGCAACGCAGAGGTCCTGGGTTCGAAGCCTCGGTGTGAGACAAATCAGGAGGAAGCGGTACTCGCTAAGCAAGCAGCGTGACGTCCTTTACACACACAAACACACACCTTTCATCACAATTCAAGCCCTGGTTTGACTCATGACGTAGACTTCAAAGGCATTCTCATTGGTTTGTGTTGGTTATGATGTTTACCATGGATTACATGACTCATGTCACAATACGCCCTCTCATAGGTTCACAGCACAGAGTAAAGATCACACAGACATGCCTCTTTCTCAATGTCTGTCATATAACAGACTAGGGGAGAAAACAGTCTGGTTTCCATCTCCCTCTTCATAGGGTTCATCAACTCCTTTCATAAGGCCCTTGGTCTTTGGTTATTATCTCAGATTTGTTTCTAAACTCATTTAATCAACCACTTTCCATCCGCCATTTGGTGGCAATCATAAGTAGAGTTGCAACATTCCGGGAACTTCAATAAAGTCCCTGGTTTTTCCAAAATCCCAGTTGGATTTCTGGAAAACCAGGGAATTTACTGAAAGTTCCCAGAATTTTGTAACCCTAGTCAAAGCATAAAGCAATTAAATATTCCCCAGAATACTTTTATAGCTCAATATAATTAACAGGGTAATAATTATGAGCAGCAGGAATGCATGACAAGTAAGTCAACATACATTTCTTAAATGTTCTTTGACACAATTAACGATTACATTACATGCCAACTCTCTAAACGGCCTTAAAAGAGAAGTAGTTATAAAACGTTGTGAATATCATTATCCATCCAATGTTTTCAAAACAATATTGTGCTCTAATGGGCTGAAATGTATATGGTTGAAAACTTGCTATTCTGTTCTTCAATAGAGAGGGGGAAACGGTGAGCAACTTAGCAGGTGGTATCACAGACATTCTTTGAGTTAAACTTAAATTATTAATTTAAATGCAGTTGAAGGGAACAGACAACAAAGAGTCTTGGAGGAATATCTTGCCAGAAAGGGAGAAGGGGAAATAGGGGGAGGATGGGAAAGAGGGGGAGAAGGGGAAAGAGGGGGAGGAGGAGGGTTCATGCATTATACATGTCACTCACAATCAGAGCTGTCTGCTTAATTTATGAGCTCAAAAAAAAGAGAAAAAAACGACCAGCCCAGCCAGGATCGAGGCTTTGTCTGTCTGCTGTGGAATGCAATAGCAGTTCACTTAATACCTAAGGACTCTGAAGTTCCACCCATAACAGCCACCAACATCCCACTCACTACTATATCATTTCTGAAACATACATACCGACACAACAATCAAAGCAGCAACGAAGATGATGAGTCATTCTGGTCTGGTCGTTTGGTACTGTTGTTACATTACGCCACCAGCCAGCCGGGCCAGCCAGCCAGACAAGACAAGAGGTGAATATTACAGTGGCCGGTAACGTGAGCCTCACTTATCACCTTTCTCAGGGCTCGGTTTACACGTCATGACAATTAGACTCAACAGGATGTCTCCATCAGACGGGGTCAGATGGGTTATAAACATGTCTAGTTGTCCTTTCACTGTTCTGCGGTGGCCTGGGAAAGAGCTGGGCCCTCTGTGGGCCCTGTGGCTGTCCCACGCCACTCTGCTTAACGTCCCATCTGATTACTGTACTCTCTCCCCCATACCAGTGATGATGGGAACCACCACATCGTCCTGTATGATGATGGACGAATGAAAGCGGAGCATAGAAGTGGAGAACAAGCTAATGCACTTTCCCAGCATCACTCAGAGTCATTTGTTTAGGCTTTGTTTGACAATGCAAGATTTCAAGTTCTGATAATCAGATCATATTTTCCACACAATAGGAGAGAGAGAAAAAATCATGTTATGGGCAATGTAGTCCGTGGTGAATTGTGGAGATAGTGGGCAATTAAATGCATTTAGGCTTCGCCAACGTGCTCCTGTTGTGCCCGTACACTGGGACTCAAGGAATTACAAATGAAATGTGGATGATTTGAAGTCTGGAGGCTTCAGGCAACTCTCACTATCTAGGTGAGAAACATCTGCAACACCACAAGTCTTCTGAGGGAGTGAGACTGACCTAATCACATTCCACTGCTATCTGGATTGTAAGTGTTTCTCTTAGAGAAACACTTCAAATCCACTTCTCCCACTCAACCAGCCCCCACAAACCTCTAGTAGCAGACACAAATGGTAGTGGTCTTCCCCCTGAGTAAACTTGATCTGTATCATCTCTACCAATGAGAATATACCATGGAACACAAAAGCCAGAATGTCAATATTCAGAGCATGGGAGGCTTTACCCAGAGGGCCACAGGGCCAGGTCGAAGGTCACTGGATTTACACTGCTGCGTGTTTGTAGGGATCAAACGAGAGCTTAGGCTGGAATGGCCGATTTCGATTACAGAGCAATTAGGAGCCTTTGGAAATCCTAGCAGTGTAAATTACTCTTCTGCTGACATAGTGACCAGCGACCACGCCAACTCCCACACTCATTCCGAGATTGTAAGAGCTGAGAGTTTCTGCTGACTTCATTTATACCAG